TCTAGGTGAAAATGGTAGATACAAAAATTGTGATTTTCTGAATCTTGATGGGCGACGACGAATCCATAGACATTATAAAATGTCCATGTATTGGTCAATTGATATTTGAGCTCATATGGTACATCGTAGTGAAATTAAGGACCAAAAAAAAAATAAAAGACAAATAAGCTGTAATTGAAAGATGAGGTGTGAATTTCTAGAAGGATCATAATGAGAGATGACTGGAAGTCATGTCCATGATTATGCATATATTCATGCATATCGTTACTTACTGAGAACTCGTTTATACAGTTTTGCATTGTAGGTATGACAATGCATGTATGGAGGTTGGTGTTAACTCTTAGATGACGAGACAAATGTAAATTGAGTATCACACTATGGCTCAATCGATTTTCACTAGGGAAGCCCTAAGGTTACATTTGAGTAGAAGAAATTAATTAGCATTCTTAAATGATTTATTATATTTGATAATGTTAATTTCCAAATGTTTTCATCATTCTATTTTGTATAAGCATTTTGGGAATTGGTAGTCCTTGCCCTTGGGATATAATATAGGCATCGACACCAAATAAAACAATCAAGATAAAGATGCATGAATGGATAGTTCTTTAATAAAAGTAACCAGGCAAATGCCCTTCAAACGCAACAATGCAAGTGTGGAAATGAGTAAGTTCAATGATAGAAATAAGTGACAAATGAGTTGGTAAAAGCACTCATGGGATTCACTATCACCTTTATTACATAACTTTTACAATGTGAACATATGATTACTTTTGACTTAAATAGTCTAAATTCAGAAAAAGAAATGGAGAATTTGTTTTCGATGTAATCATCCAAAGTATTGAATTCGTGCATCCATTTAATTCTAAGCACCAACGTAAGCTTGCCTGGCTCCGGTCAAATAAAGACCGTTTACACATGTCACGTACCAAAATGACTTAATTAAGACCAACAGCCATCACTCACTGTCATAACATAAAATGATGATTTTAGGCCACTAATCTCATTATTTATTTTGAATTTCTTTTAGAAAATGAAATTACTAGAACGTGGCATTCAATCAAGTATTGACCATTCTTAAGAAAAAAGTAGACCATATTCTCAGATAGAATTTTCAATTGAGTAATAAAATATATTTTCAATGTATGTTAATTTTGGTTTATTTTATCATCTTAATGTATTTTTTTTACTGAAAATTAAAACGGTTGTCAAGATGATTGTTAGTTTGTGATTGTGCCTCATTTAATAATTTTCGTTTTTCTTTTATACTCACATCTTATAATGTAAAATATAAACATTTAATTTTTAAAGACGAAAAAACAAAAATAAATGATCAAATGATAATAATCGCATTTTTATTTCCATGTCGACAATTACACTTCTTCCAGGGAAATTTATTTTCTACTACACTTCTAGATCAAGGTTAAGTCGAGACCTTGCTAGAATTTACTAAATTTTATTTTTATTATTAATAAAATGTGTCATATAGTATGGTTTAAAAAATTGTTGACAATTTAAAATGAAGTCTATATATAAATTTAAATATGTAAAAGATCATTAATTTTATTTTTTAATAAAAAGTTCATTTGATGGAACAATACATGAAAACGAGTTTCATTTTAAAAGTCAACTTTATTAAGAGAAAACTGTGTTCCTATTTTAGTCGGTTAAAATTGCACGTTTGAGCTAACTTTGTACCATAGTAAAATTTGAATTTCATCTTAGAAAATTAATTCTATTGAGTCCTTGTTTGAACCCCATTTTAACAAAATTTCATTTTGTCATAACTCATTTTTCAACTGAAGAATAAAATAAATTTACATGTAAATTGAAATTTTTTTCTTATTTTTTTAACCTCATACTCTTCAAATCACTATTTAAAACACTCCCCCCACCCCCTCCACCCAAAAAAAAAAAGGAGGAGCTCAAACAAGGGCTAATAGAATTAGTAGAAATATTTATATAATATGTATTTATTTTGTCGATATTGAATGTGAGATTTACTCTGAACATGTTCATGTAACATATGTCATGACGAAACTTGGGACCCAAGTGGAGGTGATACCACTTCTTTTTAAACACATAATTTTCTTTCTCTTTGACTTTTTAACAAGAAATGAACCAATGATTAAATAAGTGACTTGAATATGTTCATGCATGGTAATATGCTTTGCAAGTAAATTCTCGTCGTGGGCCCCAGGCTACGCAATATGAATTTTTTTTTGCTGTTGGATAGCCAGATAACATTTCGCTTTGAAGTAGATTACAATAATACTTCTTCTTCTTCTATGGTGCAGACGTATAGTGAGAAATGTGTACATTTATCCGTACTAAAATATTTTATGTATTTAATATATAAGCATTTCAAAATTATATATAGCAGGCATAGCATAAGTAGAGAAATTTGTAACTAAATCAAATGGCCACATTAGCATTTCATAAATCCATTAGTTATTAAATCATTTCACCAAGTAAAGGAGGGACTAGAAAATCATGGATAACTTATAAATTCGATAAACCATAGAGGTCTTAATGAAAAAAAATATTATTGTGAATTAACTAAAAAGTCAAAAGATCAACAAGAAAATAATTTAGAATTAAACTCTTTATGTATTAATTTTCCTAGTATGTTAGGAATTCTTTGATCATAAATATGTGGCGTACAACATATTGGAATTGATCAATTGTCCATTAGTTATTGGTTTAAAGAGATCATTTGTAATTCCTTACTATTGATTATAATGAATTCTTCGTATCTGTCCGTAGTTTTCTCGAATTTGGGTTTCCACTGAATCTTTTTTTATTTTTATGATCAATTTTTTTCTTATTGCTCATATTATTCTCGTCTTTAATATTTGTCCCAGTTCTCAACAATTGGTATCAGAGCGACTCTGGTAACTTGTTTGATTTAAACATAACTAGTGGATTCAAGTGTTTCATTGAGAAAACAATCTATTTTTACCAAACCCAAAAAAAAGAAGTTCACACACTGTTTGAATACAATGTTTAGGAAAGAAAATGGATTTAGATCTTTCTGAATAATGTCAATGTGTCGCATTCGATTCAGTAGAACAATTCAATTTCTTTGACATTTTTGAGTAAGAAACTTCCTAGCAAGCCCTAAAACATTTGCAGACCTATATATCAAACTTGTGTACTGTCTCCATAATGTTATCCAAGTTAACGGTCAATTCACCATATTATTTGCCTCCACAACTTAGCACGGCGTTCGGAAAAGTACACGGTGGATATATGCGATTCATCTTGAAATCTTGAATTTTCCTAATGAGTACTTCCCTCAACTCTTAAATACTCATCTGCTTCAAAATCCCACATTTTCATCGTCGTTCTCGACTACTTTTGATCTTTCAACGACAGGCAAGAGAAAATTGAACTGAAGATCCTTGAATCATGTAGAGCAGCAGCAGAAATAATCTTTTATTTATTATCTTTCTTAATTATTTTTCAATTTTGGAAGTTCATCAGGTTTTTTATTTATGCTTCTGTATTTCTTTTCTTGAATGATGATTGGGGACAATCTCTGAAATGTAGAGCTGAGCCCCTAATCAAATTCAAATGCCTTTAGAGGGAAATTAAAAGATGAAGCTGGACAAGTTTGATTACCACCTAGATGTCATATAGTCGAAAAGATGTGGCTTAATATTAGTGGTGTTAAATAGTATTATTCGGTTTAAAAATATATTCAATTATATCAATGTATCTTATATGTGCCTCCTCAAATGCCCATGGTTTAATTAATTAATTTCTTCATCAAACTCCTTGTACGTGAAATTTTATCGATAGGTTATTGGGGAGTTTTAATACTCCGATTTTGTTTACTTTCTATGTTAAATATACCATCTAAAAGTTTATATTGCTAAGTAGAAGATATTTTTTTTCCTCTATGTTGAACCACATCCTTAATGTTTTTCTTGTCCAAGGTTTCGTTTAGTGATCGATTTTTATTTTTTATTTTTTAAAAATTGGTCTTTAGCATTCGATTCCTGCCTTGCTCCCAAAGTTCTTTTATTATGTATTATTGATTGTTTCAAGTGGAATGACATTCATACAGTTGAATTTTCACAACGATGTTGTTCAAGTGGTTAAAATGAAGTCTTTCTCCATTGAGTTTGAGTTTCATTTCTTTTAACAAACACGCCTCAATTCTTCCATAGATCAAGTAACATGTATTCTCTCCGAATTGAACCATTTTGAGATTTGAAGAATTATGCTACCAAATTTAATTGCAAACTTTATTTGGATTTTATGTCTTAATTAAATTTGAGGGCTATGTTAAAGATGCAAACATAATTTTATAATATTGTCCTTAATATTTCTCTTAATTCTTTAAGATTATTTCCATAGCAATAGCTTCTTGTGATTGTTGATATACAATTTTTTAGTGCAAATTGCTTTCAATGTCTCATTCTCGATTTCAAGTTCTCTATTGTCTATACAAAGTGAAAGCTATACTAGGTCAGTGAACAGTGACAAATAATTGATGCTTAATTGGATGTATGATGCTGTAAAAGAGTTATTATACTCATAATTGTATATAGTCGAGTCTTGTATTAATTGTGATTCAAGACTTTTTTCTCTTCGTTTATTGCTTGTGTGGAAGTGAATTTTGGGGACATGATTTTCTAAAAAGTTATGTTTTAGGGAACCGTAAAAGTATTTTATTTTTGAAGTTATTATTGAACTTAGTGGTCATACACACCCTCGACTCTTGCTCCGCATAAGGTAAGTTTATTTTCAAGAAATTTTGTACAACTTGATTAGGATTCTCGTTATCGCATAAGTATGGTTATGGCCTATGAATTTTCCTCTCAATTTTCTTTATTCGGCTCAATAATTAAATGTGTGATGCATCTTGCATAACACCAATTTTCTGGTTTTGTTTCTACAACCTTAACTGCGACCACCAGTAGGTGTTACACAAAGACAATTACCAAACAAGTGTAGCTGCACTTTCATTTGATCCGTACAAGAAAAACCAAGACTCCAGAATTTATGAGCCCACTTGTTTATAATCGTTTTCTATCAATACACTCCAGAAATGATTGAAAGGGACTTCGCCCAATTAACTTTCTCTGAGTTATATTGCATTCACAAACTCATGATATATCAAGTAAGTAATCTAATTGGTAAACCGTACTTGATAAGATAGAACATTGTAATAAATAAGATTCCATAGCATATTTTCATCGTCGATATAGTTCATTATTATTTATTCCACCTTACCAAACATGCATCAAAGTTCAAAATGAAATAGAAGGAGTCAAAAGACGAAATTAACTTCAATCTTTCTTCTTCTCTTCTTTGTCATAATCAAGAAGTTCTTCCAATAAGTTGTCGTCCAAGTATTCGAATTCGAAGACTTGTCTTTCCTGCACCGAAGATGAAGTCGAAGACGAAGCCGAAGCAAAATGTGATGAACTACTGGGCAAATTGTACTCTTCTGGGAAGTTAAGAATGGCCAAATGACCTCTCATGGCATACGCTGCCTTATCGTAGGCTCTAGCCGCCTCCTCCGCTGTGTTAAATGTCCCGAGCCAAACCCGAGCCCCCTGCCGGGACGAATCTCGTATTTCTGCGGCGTATTTTCCCCATGGCCGCTTCCTAACACCTCTGTACTTGATCTCTCCAGTATCCTTTTCAGTGCTTTTTCCTCTGTTACTTGGCTCCTCGTCCATAGTGAATTTGTGAAGATTGTTGCCCAAGTGGATAGGTGAGATGGCAATTTATACTGTCTTAAAATTTCCAAAAAACTACATGTTTTTGGAAAAACTAGGGGTCCAAATTTTGCCAGGTGGAAAATCGAGTGAAAGAAAATTGTTCACAGTATGGAACCTTCCATGTAAGACCAAAGTTTATATGCGGTGCATCTGGCTAGTCAAGGTGGTGGCTTTCAGAAAATTCTCCTCCTTCACTTCTGCATGTTTGATTCTGTCACTAGTTATTTTTAACATTTATTGGAAATTTATGCCACGTGCAAAAATTTGATATTTTAAGAAAATTGGTTTTAAAATTATTGAAATAAATTAATTATTGAATTAATATTTTGTTGCTTTTGTATCTTATTCTAGGAATACGATGTTTGTTCGACTCAAAGACAGGGAAAAAAATAGACTGACTTGACAACATATGATTAGGTATTTTTTTTTTTTTGTCGATTAGTCCAATAATGTGTTGACACATGTAAATCCTGCTTTTGAATTTTTATTTTTTTTAGCCTGTTTGTGCAGTATAATTCCTTATTCTAATTGCCAACGAAGTCATAGCTTACGCTTTATCCAACATATTCGAGACAAAAAATATCACTTAAATGTTTAGCTTTGTATATTTGTCTAAAAAATAAGTGATTGGTAATTAAAAAAAGTAAAAAATTATTTTAAATGTACCATCCACAATCCAATTATCAAAATTGTGCCAGATGTCAAGTTTTTAATGAAAATATGAATTTGATTCAATTATATAGGTAGAAATGTGCTCTGAAAATGTGGTATAAATTTATGTGCTATTTGTGTTGCCTAATTTTTTTTATTCTTAAGGTAACTTAAGTGCTTTTTGTAAAGAGCTTGTGGTCCACCCCAACCTGCACGCATGATCAATTACTATGATCTATGGCCTAAACCCCCTAACTTGGACATCATCGTACCACCATCAACAACAACCCTTCGCTTGTGGAAAAAGCCTTCTGCACAAACCCTTTTGCATAGGGCCTATACAGGGGCTCTCACATATGGACCCCATGTGTGTACACCTGTACAGGCTCTGTGCAAAAGAGTCTGTGCAGGTAGCACGGCCGCTCACTTATTGGGGGTCCCTTTATTTAAGGGGTTCAATAGATCTTTCTTCATTATGGCATCATTTCGATAGTTCATGAACATGATATCAGGCTGAGCATTGAGGCTATTGTTCCTCGAAGGCTGAATTATTTTATCAAGGTCTATTCTCTGCTCTCTTCCACTTTATGTACTTTGGATTATGCGCCTTCTGAGGCCATTTAGAAGAAATTGGAAGGTATTTCTTCTCGATTCGTTTGGGATTCTAAGATTCAGTCTCATTGCTTGCACTGGAGGAAGTAAAATGATCTTTGCCACAATAGAAAATTGTGTCTTGGAATTTAAGATGACGTGGGATATTGTTGACACATTCTCCCTAAAGTTCTGGTGGCTATTCCAATCTCAACGCTCACTGTGGAAAATGATTTCTTTGACAATACTAGCTTGGACACTGATTGCCTATTATAGGTCCGTCCACCTCCTATGGCCAAGCAGATTGGGAACCTACAAAATGATAATATTTTTAATTGTATCGTGTGGAAGGACACGCGATGGTAGTTTCTCTACCAAATTTGCCTGCAACTTATTGTTAGGGAAAAATTGACATGCATAAATATATTCAATCACCATCCTTTTATGTGCGTAAGCTCAAACACAACTATGTCTTTACTGAAACCAATAACAAGAAGAAGAAACGAGAAATACATGAAAATGAATAGGTCTAGGCATAAGCTAGACTCTTTATCTCTAAGATGAATTTGCCCCACATCGATGCTAATGGCTTTCCAACAATCATCTCCCAAAATGTAACGATCATGTCCTGCAACAGAAGCACTCCAAATTACATAAACCAACAAACCCGAAACATAATTTTCTCTCTACCAAAATCATGATTTTTTATACAAGAAAAATCATTTTGATGCAAAACAAACAATGTATATAATATGAAATGAATCTGACTTTCCAAGTGGTCATATTCATAGAAGATGAGAGGTTGTGGCTGGTCGAAAAGACACACCCCGAACACAGCATATTTTCATGAAGAGACATAGCTCTTTTGGCTGTTCACTGTCTGCTCAGCATGCCGCTTGAGCGCCAACAACAGGAGCACTGTCGCTCACTCCGTGCGGTCCCCGAGCGGCCATGTTATATTTGGTGAAATGCGATTTTTGCCTTTTAACTTTGGATAATAATTTTTCATTCATCCAGAATTGGAATTGATTTTGGAATTCCAAATATGCTACAATAATCAACTCGATGAGTAAAACAAGTTGATCTACTCACTTTCGTTATTTGACCATCGGAACATGTTTGAATACTTGGCCGAAATTAATACAAAATCATCTTTATGGTTTTTACTAAACCAATTTTAACTCTAATTTTAACCAAATTCCAACACTTATTTGCTCATGTTATTCATCTCAAGATATCTATCGTATGATAATTTGGAGCATTATTATACCTATAAAGGTCTCCTTCTTTCGTTGGCAGTTGTGGCAGGGCTTTCTCCTAGTTGACATTGTGATTCAGCTGCAGATTAGGTGCCATTTGCATCACAATGTCAATGTTTCTATTTGGCAGTTTGAAGGATTTCACAACTGCTTTCAAAGGTGGAGGTTTTTAGGCCTTTTTGTTCGACGTGATTCGTACTATCATTTCTATGCTAATCATTTGGTTCTTATGAACTGTGAGGAATGATGTGAAGTACCACAAAATTGCTATGGAGTCTTAGAGGATCATTTGGCGAGTCTATTGCACTATATCTCTTCTCCATACAGACCATTTATTTGGTTTGTGCATTGGCAGGAGGACTTGGATATCATACATTTATATATTTCTCTCGATCATCCTTCATATTCCCTCCATTTATGGAAAGTCTGAATGGTGTATTTGTACCTTTTCCTCTTCTTATTGTGATTACCCTATAATTGAGGCTGAACCGCGAGCCATTCTTGATGGAATCTTTCTTACACGTTTCGAACTTGTGATAGGGGCAGACTCTTCTCTTACCCTTCATTTCATCACCCATGGTTAGGGATGTCAACGAATCGAGTCGAGCCCGAGCCTAAAACTTTCGGCTCGAGCTCAACTCGGTTAAAAATGGTTGAGCTTTTGCTCGGCCAAAAAATTTCAGCTCGAACTTTTCCCAACCGAGCCGGGCCGGCTCTTTCTCTCTCTCTCTCGTTTTTTTTCCCTGCCTTAAAAGGCAGAATTAGCCAATTGCTGTTTTTAAAAAGGCAGCAATTCTGCCCCCCCTTTTTCCATTTTTTTTTTTTTTTTAAAGGCTCTCGGGCTATGCCCATGTTCCCAAAATGGGGCTCGGCTTGAGCCTCGGCTCTATTGATCCGAGCCACGAGTCGGGCCGACTCGAGCTTTTCTCGAGCCAGGTTGCAGACCATCCGAGCCGTCGAGCCTTTTTCACATCCTACTTGTGGTGGATGACCGTGTTCTATCAAGTCTATACTCAGTTATATCGAGCATCTACTTTCCTTCATTGACACTATATCTCACATTTATCAAGTCTCCTAATAACAAACTCCTATATTTCTTTCAATACGGTATTTCTAAATGAAAGAAACTAGGTTGCTTATATTCTTGCTTCAGAAGGATGGGATCGACGCTACTACCAGAAGTATGGTCCTCTCGACTTGCATCGATGACTTTCATCCTTGCATGACATATATTGCCTTCTCACTTTCAGAGGTCTTTCAAATTTTAATTTTTTTCTTTCTTCATATTTGTAATGAGGTAGTATCTTCTCATTTACTGCTTTTCATTCTTTGTGCTTTCGATTGAATGTCATGTTTATGTCCCTCCCTCGCTTCATTTATTTTTGTTCCATTTATATCAAGGTATGACATTCTACAACTCTCCGTTCAGTTTTGTGGACCCTAAAAAACGCGATTTGACTATAATTGTGGTTTAGTAAGACAAGGTGGTATAAATTAATTACTATAATATAACAATTGAAAATGTGGATGTGCTAAACGAACACAAGTAGGAGAATACATTGTACCTTGTTCTAATTATTTATTATTAAGTCACATCAATTACATTTTAAGGACACAATCATGAATATTATAGCAATTCAAAATGTTATCATGAGGTATATTTACAAGAATATTGTAGCACTTAAAAGTTTCGAGGTAAAATATTATCTGAAATATTTTTATTCTTTCTTTTTGTGCATTGTTTATATGAAAGGTTTAATTATTTGAAATATACAGGCCATTCAAATGGAACTTTTGTAGGTCCCATAATATGTTTTTGTGGCTTTGATTCGTTCTTACGTAAGCAGTTCAGCTTAGGGCGACGTCAGTACATTACTGCATTGGAAGGTCGTCCAATAGGTTAATGGCTAATTATATATATTTTTTTAGACAAAAAAATTCATTCTTTTGCCACATTTATTGATGATTTATTCCAAAGCTGTACCATAAGATAGGCTAATATGCTAAAGAAAAAGTGAAGTCAAGTGTTATGGCCGCCTTTAATTGTCAGATTAGTAATTGATAATCACAATTAATAAAATGAGGAAATGGTGGCAGATACCCATCAAAAACAGACAATTTTCCAAAATGGTCGTTGACTACTGTTTAAAAGAAAAAATTCAAAAATTTGTAAAAACCTTAAAAACATTTAAAACTCAAAATTGACCTTGACATTTCACTCTCAAACCGACATCTGGAGAAAGAAGGGGAAGAAATAACAAGGAAATAGACGACTTTTCTTGGGAGAAGACGGACCAGCCACCATTAGAGGCGAAGAAAATAAGTTTTGCTTATTTTCCCCCCATTAATCTTTGAACTTGAATGTTAAATGTTTATTTTGTTAGAAATAGTGGTAGAAATCATTGTAGATTATATGAAATTACTATAGAGTAATTATTTTTTGATTTTGGTGGCTAGAGGCGATCTCTGGGCAGAGGCTGTCTGTTGCAAACAAGCTGTGCCGTC